GGAACTCACACTTCTGGACCTTGGCATACAGCTGGTTGTCAATGAGGCGTTGAAGTACGGCTCGCACATCCCGGACGTGTGCTTCGAGGATATCAGAGTAAATGAGGATGTCGTCGATGTAGACAATGACTCTCTGGTTCAGCATGTCCCGGAAGATCTCATTTACGAAGGCCTGAAAGACAGAGGGACTGTTAGAAAGCCTGAACGGCATAACCCGGTATTCGTAGTGCCCGGTGGTCGTAGAGAAAGCCGTCTTCCACTCGTCACCCTCTCGAATACGAACCAGGTTATAGGCATTCCGCAGGTCCAGTTTGGTGAAGAACTTGGCGGTGCGGAGCATCTCCAATGCAGCGGGGACCAGAGGCAGAGGATAGTGGTACTTGACAGTGATCTCGTTGAGACTGCGATAGTCAATACAAGGACGGAGACCTCCATCCTTCTTCTTGACAAAGAAAAACCCAGCTGAGGCAGGAGAAGTGGAAGGAGTAATGAAGCCCTTAGCGAGTTGTTCTTCAATGTAAGACTTCATCGTGTCGGTCTCAGGTTGGGACAACGGATAGACTCTCCCACGGGGCGGGTTAGCTCCAGGAAGAAGTTCAATGGCGCAATCCCAAGGTCGATGTGGGGGAAGTTGAGAGGCCTCTCCTTCACTAAAGGCCAGAGCAAGATCATGGTATTCAGTGGGAACCCCCAACAGGTCAGGATTCTCGGAGCGGCTGGAAACCGTTTCAGGACCTAGGACAGCAGGTTGACAGTTTGTTAAACAAAAAGATGACCACTGAATTACCTTCCTCTCAGACCACGAAATGTAGGGGTTGTGCTTCTCCAGCCAGGGGAAACCGAGAATCACAGGGTGCAGCGGTGAATTTATGGTGAAAAGTTGGATGGTCTCCGAGTGCTGAGTGCCGACATTAAGGGTTAACTGTTGAGTGATATACTGTATCTTGCCTGATCCCAGAGGTCGTCCATCTAATGCTGCCACTGACAACCGGGGTTCACATGGTTTGAGAGAGAAATTATGAGTTTTAGCAAAAGCGAGGTCAATAAAATTTCCTGCTGCCCCCGAATCAATCAATGCATTTACATTAACAATACCCTCATCAGAGCAGAAAGATACCTCTAAAGTAAGAGAATTGAGAGAACGAACACGGGAACTCACCGCAGCAGAATCTCTCGAGGTGGGTCTTACAGGACATGTCGACCTCATGTGACCAGTACGGGCGCAGTAAAGACAGGTTGTTGCGCATTCTTCCTTGATGGAAGATCCTCCTTGATGAAGAGACAGTAGCAGCTCGCCCGGTTCCTTTCCGCCGGCTGGATGCTCGAAAACCTCTCTGAATTGGGCGAGAAAGTCGTCATAAGAGGGGAAAGTAAGCTGACCACCTGCCCAAAGCGCTGTCGCCCACTCCAGCGCCTTTCCAGTCAGCAGCGAGCAGATGAAAGAGACCCGGCTGTCGTCGTTTGAAAAGAGGTAGGATTGCTGGTTAATATACAGAGTGCTTTGCAGAAGAAAACCCTTGCATGTTGCTGACGAGCCGTCGTATTTGTCGGGTAATGATAAACGAGGATTATTGGAAGCTGGAATGTTACTCACACTGGACGATGGTTGAACTGGAGGTGCAGTGGTTTGAGCACCGTCGGCGGTTTGCGTCGTGAGGGACCGCATGGATCTCACCAGTTCTTCGGTAAGTGAAGTTAATTTCTCAAGCTGCTGTTGATGAACGACCAGTACGGAAGCTTGATTGGTGACTTCAGAGGCTAGACAATGCAAGGTTGCTGGATCCTGTGTTGGTGAGGTTGGTGTGGCGCTGAGATCTGTCTCTCATTAGCACTCGAGCATTGCTTCACACCACAGTCATGTTAACAACATCAATGTATTCACTCATCCATAAACATTATTTTCCATAAACATTATTAGAGCCATCGACATGATGACAAGTTTCATGATGCCGCTTATTCACTGCGTCATCAATCTAAGCCTTTGTTATTGTAAGAGGTTAGCGACCCCTAGCGGTGAAAATAATTACATATTGTAGCTTTAATCAAAACAAAAGAGATAAAAATAAACCCTTTTTTTTGGTATTTGGCCTAATTAAGTCTTATTGTGAATATATTGTACATTAAGCGGCACACAACCTGATGAAAAATGTTTCTGGTTGCTACATATAAAACTCAAATCTGTTTATCTGACAAATCTTGCATATAATGCATTTCGTTAGGGATAAAGAAAGCAATGACTGCACAAGCTGAATATTCACCCACACCAGTTTCTCCTTTTGTGTGTACAAATGTATGAAATTTTCTAATGTACAACTGTACTACAAACCAAACCCACCACAAGTTATTCCAGCCCGTTACGTCCCCTACAAAGAAAGAGCCTGCCATCAGAGCCGCTCCCCCTGGGAACACTTTTAAAAGTATTTTAAATATGAAACTACAAGTAAATCTACAAGCAACCAGCCTTTAATTGTATTAAAGGGGTATGGTTGTGTTTAGGGTTGGGGTTAAGTTTTCTAGCTGAAAATAATATACAATAGGCCAGAATTTCATTGCATAATTAATTAAGTGTTTCATTAATAGCTGTTATTACATACCTGATTATAATACAATATCAGTTTGCCTTACAAAATGTATATATAGATATATCATGTACTTGAAAAGATTGCTTCAAAGGTTGTATCAGTGAAATCCACTTAAGAAATTAATTTCTCCATTGAGGGAGGCGTAACCTGTAGTGTGCATTTCAGACTCACAAAACATCTGTTCACATGAAGATTGCACTTCTTCCTTATCTCATTTCATTTCATAATGGGATAATGGATTATTTCCAAAAGGTAGTAACATTTCAAATTTAAGCCTAAACTACAACAATCAACTACAGATTTAACCCAGCTGGTTATGTTTTTATAAGCCTTGTGGTGAAATAAAACACAAAATGCAATTTAGATCAAAAAAATTGTATGACCCACTCCTCTATACCAAATGACATATACATGATGTGAAGTGTTTGCTGTTGTTCAGCTGAACTGTTGCAGTGTAACTACCTCACCACCTTAATTAGCCATTAGTTCCATAAAACGGGGGATTCACTTTTGCTTTAATAGGGGAGTAAACAACTATATTGAAACACTGGATGGTAACTATTAAGACATTAATGAACCAAAAAAAAAAAAACAGCAAAACAAATCAACACTAAACTCAATGCTTAGAACAAACCAACAACCAAAATCAAATTCAAACCCCAAACAATTAAGTATTGCTAAATAAATTATAGTTTGTTTGATTGAATTGAATACCCAAGATAATGAAACTATAACCACCAAAACACTACAGCAGCAATAAACAAAAACATAAATTAATGTAGTATGAAAGGTGTATCAAACTGTCATAGAATGCAACAGCAGTAATATAGTTCATAATACAAAAGGTATTATCTGAATGTTGTAGATGTGTGAACAGTCTTGGAAAATGTCCCAGTGATCAATTAAACTATGTAGTCCCAAATCCTGGACACACAACTAAATCCCACTGGTGTAATTCCAACCAGGTAATATAGCAGTAGGTCTCTGCACAAACAGTCCTTTCCCTCTTTTAGAGCCACATAACAGAGTCTCTGCAAGCTTCTGAACCATATAGATAAACATTTGTCAAGGATACATCAAATGTGCATTTGAATTTCAGTTAAAGGGGTCCTTGATTATGATTTCACTTTTTTAACTTTAGTTAGTGTGTAATTTTGCCTTTTTGAGCATAAACAAAATCTGCAAAGTAATGACGTTCAAAGTTCAGAGCAAAGGGAGATATTTTCTTTTATAGAAATCGTTTTTTAAGGACTACAACAAACGACTGGTAGGGACTACAGCGAGCTTCCTCCCGGGATGGTGACATCACCAACCCTAAAATGAACATAAACCCGCCACTGGGAACACGCAACAAAGGGGGTGAGGCCATGTTGGGCTGCTTTAGAGAAGAGGGAGTGTTGTTGTCCCTGTTTTTTACACCCCGGAAAAAGTTTGTCCTAAGGCTGAGGAACTTAATGGTTAAGGTTTATTTTTAACCCTGTTCCTGAACATTATAACCTCAACGTTTGTCTGTGCGCTGCACATTTTACGGAGAACAGCCGACGAGAAGAGATTACACATATAAATGCACAAAATCTTCTCCTGAAAGACGGAGCCATTCCCATTTTCTCGGGACAATCTGTTGTTTATGAATCACAACTTGCAAGTATGTCTTATTATTTGCCTCTGCTAAACTTGCTCACTAAAATTACAGTATTGATGTAGTGTTTACTTTAGCTTTTGAAAGCTCTCGCTTTTGTAAGACTGTTCACCACCCCTTATGATGATTCAATCCATGATTACTGTTTGTATTACCATAGTTTTCCGACAAATATGAATAAATGGTGGATAACATCGTATCTATAAGAAAATTACACAAAAAAACACCACTCTGAAATGTCCTGTGAAATTCGTGCTTGCAAAGTCTGTGCTTTAAATCCATTCAGCACAATCCTCTTGTTCGTTAACATTGTCAGGGTCTGAATCGGGCTTTGAGTTTGAAATTGATGCCATTGTTAAAATTTACATCTGAGTAGAGCTTGCGGTTATGAAGGGGAGTGACAATTCCCGAACACACGCTTAGCGCTGCCAATAACAACACACTGGGCCAGCTAACCAATCACAGCACATTTCGTATTTCAGAAGGAGGGGCTTCACTGAAAACCCATTCAACCAGACTGGGGAGAGAGGAGCTTTAATAATGTAAAATATGTGAAAAATAATGTGTCTTTTGAACAATAAAGCATGACAACATATTGTAGTACAACCCAAATACAAAATCAAAACTTCGTGATGGGGCATAATAGGACCCCTTAAGCTTTTGAAATAAATTCAACTTTAAAAAGGTGATGTCTGGCCTTCTTGCACCCCACCAAACAAACTCCATTACCATGCCCTCATTTCTTCTCTTTTACAGGAAACCTTCTTACCCCATTTCCTCTCTCTATTGCCCTCTAATGGCCGGGATGAGACATTTCACCCCTGTAACAGGGTAGCTGTTACAGCAGACTAGAGTAAGCGGCTGGCATGGCTCCATCAGACTCTTGATTGTGTTACCACTATTGGCACAGTAATAATGATCACTACTGCACAAACTAACAGAATGATGAATGCAAATGTTTTACAAATTTTGTTCCTCTTCATTTCAGCTGCTTTCTTCTTGAGCAGAGAATCATAGCCGGGGGTGTAGAGATCTTCCAGCCAGAAGCTCAGCTCTCTTGGGTCTTCCTGAAAGACACATTCAGAACAGTATTTTTTTTTTAAGTTTTAAAAGTAAACACTGTCAGTAAACAATTTCAGATTGTGATAGCAAATGCGAAATCTTTTATATTTAGCTTTTCATGATAACTAATATATTTAATAAATGGTAACAAATGAGGTCTTATTGTAAAGTGTTTACCAAATAATTCATGGGATGTTGACATAAATATTAAATTTGGTGATTAAATTGCAATACAGAATTTAGACATTTGTTAATTAGAATTTCACCTCAATTTTGCTTATTATTGTTTGCATAAAGTAAGATTATTAATGATGGTTCATTGTTTACAGCTTGTCAATGTTATATTCCACAGGCTTAAGTGTCATAGGATCATAATCACATAACAGAGCCAGTAGCACTTAAAGGTGCAGTGAGCGGAGCAAAGAACATTCATAGCATGTTTCTATGAATATAGCTTGCCAGAAAACAGTTTGAAATGCTTAGATAGATTAAACATGAATCCGTTCACTTTGTCTAAGTTGCAGTCTCAGGTATTGTTTTTAACAAAGAATGTTTTAAATGATGAATGCATTAGACCAGGTTCTCAAACTTTTTACACCAAGTGGTTCTCCAAGTACCACCATAACGACCAACATTAAAATACAGTAGTAGTAGGCCATTCAGCTACAGTTATGCACAGGCAGGCTCAAAAACCAGGCAGTTTTATTTATAATAAGAACATTTATTATTGTCAGCCACTTTAAACAGTGTAACAAGTTTTAAAATCAACACTGCACGGTGTTGCTAACATAGAGGTTAATAAAATAAAAATTACATAATGATTAAGTTAAAATGTATTGCACCTAAAAGTGAAATAAAAACTGTACTTAAAGATTAAATGAAAATGTATTGTACTTAAAAGTACATGTTGCTACTAACATGAGCTTAATGTGATGGGTGTGCATGCCTCTGTGAGTTCTCTTTCTAACATTCGTTCGGTATCTCACTATGGGAACACCTCTGGGCGTGTCCGATCGCGGAAGCACCAATTACACCACGTCTGCCAACTATGGCAGACCAATCGCTGCAGCGATCAAGGAGTCCCGGCTCCCTGTATATAAACGCAGCTACCTGCCGTTTCGTCATTCTCGCTCTCTTCCCCGTGGAAGATTTCGGAAGCTGTCCTCAGCAGACTTTGGGAATTATTTGCTTAACAGTTTTCAGACGGAGCCGACAGGTAACGTCCCAAACGCTATAATTTCCTTAGGTCGTTGAGTGACTTCGTCACTTAAGAGTACGATAACTAACGTGTCAAGACGAGTTTTCTTGCTCTTAAGTCCTCTATCTTTTTCCAAGTTTTTCTGGGCGCTTACCACGCACCAAAAGGACAAGGAAAACGACAGCTCTCTAATCGCAGCACAGCTCCGTACCAGTTGTCACGTTGGGTGAGAACTCACCGTACGAAGAGAGTGCTAGCCCCATCATGGCCACTGCGATAGAACCGGAGAGCCCCGGAGGGAAAGGTCGCCCTCCACATCCGTGTGCCTGTGGAATGTGGATTTCTGCTAAGGATGCACACGGCCTCTGCATCTCCTGTCTGGGCGCTAAACACGCGCAGGCAGCGCTGTCCAACCCCGAGGAATGCCCGCACTGTGCTACGTTCTCGATTAAGACCCGAGAAAGAAGGCTCCGCGTGGCAGTCGGTGGAAAATCGGACCCAAGCCTCTCTGCTCAACCCAGAGAGGAACCCATGGATTGTCCCCGGACCACCACCTCATGGGCAGAGATGATGGAGAAGGTTTCTCCCGTCCTTCCCCCGCTGTTCGATGATCCGTTAGCGGGTGAGGAAGATGACGATGATGAAGTGTTGTCGAACATCCTCGAGGACGAGGACGACGACGACGACGACGAAGATGCCATTCTTCCCCCGAACCAGTCCAGGCCGCCGAGTGCACAGGATGAGAGTTCACCCTCCCCTGTACAGACGGATTCGGATCTAATCGAGGTCTGTCGCAGGGCCGCGGCTAGATTATCGATCGACTGGCCATCCCAACAGACAGGTCAAGGGGCTGAAAGAGACCTGTACGATGGAAAGAGACTTCCGTCACGTCTCCCGCCAGCAAGGCAGTTCATTCCGGCCGTCCCGGCCTGTGTGACGGAGATGAAGAAGTTTTGGGACAAGCCTTTTTCTCATCGAGTGCCCGTCAAGGGTTTCTCGAGGCTTGATGTTTAGGGAATGGAGGATCTAGGGATGGCGGATCCTCCCCCGGTGGAAACTTCAGTGGCAAATCACTTGCACCCGGGCCGCAGGGCGGCGCTCTTCAACCGGAGCGTCGCTGCCAGGGAACACAGAGCGCTTCGCCGCCTCTGTTTTTCAGAAGATCTATAAATCAACTGCACTGTCCGTCCGTGCTTTGAACGCGACGTCCCTCCTAACAGCCTATCAAGCGGAGCTTTTAGAGGAGATGGGTCGTCAGCTGGATTCCGGATCTCCCAACCCAGTGCTCTGGGAGGAGATATGCGTCATCGCAGATTTGAACCTGCGCACATCCCGCGGAGCAGTTCAAAGTTGCGGACGGAGTATGGGCTTAGCAGTAGTGGGTGAGAGATCGCTGTGGCTGGGCTTGTCAGGGCTCTCTGAAAAAGAGAAGGCAGAGTTTCTGGATGCTCCGATAGATCCAAAAGCCATGTTCGGCGCGACAGTAACGGCGATGCGGCAGCAGTGTGACCTGCGAAAGAAGGAGGGAGAAGCTTTCCAGGTCTGTCTCCCCAGAAAGCCGGCGGCTCGGCCTTATCACCCGAACCGGCCGAATTTCAGACCGTCAGGCAGAGGAGGGCATCCAGATTATCAGCCTTCCCGCTCTGCCCCACCACAACAGCCGAGCAACACGGCCCCACAACCAAAACCAGGTTTCGTTAGACCTAAACAGTCTTTCGCGGCCGCAGCAGCGAAACACCGATCGCCCGCCCCCCAGGGGAACAAAAAGAGGTGGTCGACCTGATACGTCAGTTCTGCATCAGGAAGGGTTGGGAGACAGCACCCAGGGTTTCTCTGTCCCATCCCTTCAGAACAATTCCTCTCTCCCTCCCGCGGGGAAAAGGAGAAGGTTTTCAGAGGTGAAAAGTGTTTGAGTGGACAGTTCAGAATCCAATGTATGCGGGAATGTGGCCACCGTTCTGCGAGTGCCCCCCAAGAGATCATCTCCCCCTCCACCTTCGAGGTCTGTTACAGGGGAAGAAGGTCTAACGTTCACAAGCAGTTGTTTAAAAATAAATTTTTCTCTGACGCATCCTGGTCTAAGACCGAGGGCGCAGAATGTGAAAAAAGAGAAAAAGTTCACAAGAGAATAAAACAATCACAAATAAAGACCAATATAACTCCGTCACTGGAGCGGTCTTCCCCCCCTCTGCCGCTAGAGTGTGCTGCGGCACCTCTAGTGAGCGAAGACGGGAAGGGCCCACTCGCTGCTCAGACGGTGAACTGGCGCGCATGCGCAGTTCATCCCTGGGTATTAACCACTGTAGAGAGGGGATACAGGCTTAAATTCGCTGTAAAACCTCCTCTGTTCAACGGAGTGGTAATTTCAGTGGCCAAAGGGGAAGCAGCTCTGGTTTTAGAGGAAGAAATAACCTCTTTAATGAGAAAGGGAGTTATAAGAGTGATTCCAACGGAAGAGAGCCACAAGGGTTTCTACTCCCGTTATTTTGTGATTCCCAAGAGAGGGGGAGGTCTCCGTCCCATTCTGGATTTACGGGTCCTCAACAGACACCTGAGAAAATACAAATTCAAAATGCTGTCTATCAGAACGTTGTGTCAAAATATTCGGCAAGGAGACTGGTTCACCACGGTGGATCTCCAGGACGCATATTTTCACATAGATATTTTTCCTGCGCACAGGAAATATCTGAGGTTCGCCTATCAGGGCACAGCATACGAGTACACGAGAATACCTTTTGGCCTAGCTTTAGCGCCTCGAGTATTCAGCAAATGTGTAGAAGGAGCCCTGACTCCGTTGAGGAGATCAGGGATCAGAATTTCGTCATATCTGGACGATCTGCTTATCTGCGCGCCGTGCCGACGACAGGCAGAGAGCGATACACACACTAGTGACGCATCTGGAGAGATTAGGTTTCAAGATAAACCAAGCGAAGAGTTGTCTATCTCCTTCTCAGGAAATTGTCTACCTGGGTCTCAGGTTGAATTCTGTGACGTTTCAAGCGTTCCTATCAGAGGATCGCATCAAGACTTTTCACAGCTGTCTCGCTCTTTTCCAACGAGGGAGATCAGTCTCTTTCAGGATGTGTCTTCGGCTACTAGGTCTGATGGCCTCAACTGTGTCAGTGGTTCCCCTGGGGCTGTTACGTATGAGAGATTTTCAGAACTGGACAGCGTCACAGGGCATCCGCCCCGAGAGCCGCCTCAGCCGCAGAGTGCGCGTCTCACCGGAATGCACGAGCGCTCTCTGTCATTGGAGAGTCCCGTCTTTTCTCAGGACAGGATGCCCTCTGGGTCCGATCGTACTGAGAAAAGTGGTGACGACGGATGCATCGCTCACAGGCTGGGGCGCAGTGCTCGAGGGCAGGACAGTGAGAGGAGTTTGGTCTCCCGCACTAAGAGAAAAGCACATACATTTTCTAGAGCTACTGACAGTGTTTCTAGCTCTGAGACATTTCGTGCATTTTCTAAAGGATCATCACGTATTGGTCAGGACAGACAATACGACGGTGATAGCCTACATAAATCGGCAGGGAGGAGTGCGTTCTCAGACGCTTCACATGGTAGCGAAGAAACTGATTATGTGGAGCAACAGGACCTTCCTGTCTTTACGCGCGACGCATGTCCCTGGGATAATGAACAGGGGAGCGGATCTATTGTCCAGAGGGAATCCCCTGTACGGGGAGTGGCGACTCCACCCCCAGGTGATCCTCATGTTGTGGCAGAGATTCGGCCAGGCTGCCGTAGATCTCTACGCATCGCGCGAAGACGCACAATGTCCCCTGTTCTTCTCTCTGGTCGGCGACGATG